ACAAAACAAACAATACAATCCCATTTTGTAAAAAAATGTGTACAATTATACCAAAATCTGAAGGGTATTTAGTAAGTAAAACATTAAGGTGTCTTTGGGTGGTGATATTATAGAGGAATTTTTATTCCCTTTTTGTTGGGATAAATTTTCTGATTTTTCTACCATGAACACATCTATAATAATAAAAGTGTGATATGCTAGTTAGACCAGACATCCTTCCGGATAACCTTCCAGATAAAGCCGGGGCTGCTAAGGAAGCGCGGGTCCCAGGTGCAGGAGGGAAGCAGGTGCTGGCAGCGGAGGAAAGGAAGGCCTACTCTTGCACAAATTTCGTGCATCGGGCCTCTAGTTATTTATAAAGTCATTTAAAAACAGCAAAAGAGCTCTAGCTGGTTTGGCTCAGTAGATAGAGCATCAGCCTGTGGACTGAAGGGTTCTGAGTTCAATTCCAGTCAAGGGCACATGCTCCGGTTGCTGGCTTGATCCCCAGTGGGGGACATGCAGGAGGCAGCCAATCAATGTTTCTCTCTCATCATTGATGTTTCTATCTCCCTCTCCCTGCCTTTATGACAGCAGTTCTCAACCTGTGGGTCTCGACCCCTTTGGGGGTCGAACGACCCTTTCACAGGGGTCGCCTAAGACCATCGGAAAACACATATATAATTACATATTGTTTTTGTGATTAATCACTATGCTTTAATTATGTTCAATTTGTAACAATGAAAATACATCCTGCATATCAGATATTTACATTACGATTCATAACAGTAGCAAAATTACAGTTATGAAGTAGCAGCGAAAATAATTTTATGGTTAGGTGTCACCACAACATGAGAAACTGTATTAAAGGGTCGCGGCATTAGTAAGGTTGAGAACCACTGCTTTATGAGATCAATAAAAATATATTCAAAAACAAACAAACAGCAAAACAGCCCTGGCTGGTGTAGCTCAGTTGGTGGGCGTCATCCTGGACACCAAAAGGTTGCCAGTTGGATTCCCCATCAGGGCACATGCCTGGGTTGTGAGCTTGATCCCTGATAGGGGGGCGTGCAGAAGGCACTGATATTGATGTTTCCCTCTCACATTTTCACATTGATATTTCTCCCTCTCCCCTCCTCTCTCTCTAAAAATCAATTTAAAAATCTTTTTTAAAAACAAAACAAGACATAAAAACAGCTAAACACTATCTTTTTACTTGCAGAAAAAAACCAAACATAATTAAATCTAACTTTTAAAAAAATTATCTCAATCTTACAATGGGGGAAAGAGAAGCAAAGTAACCCAAAATTGCTATTAACAACAATTACTACTTAGGAGGGGAGTTAAACTGCTTTTAAAGGAGGGAGGGGAGATAATAAGTAAGGTGGGGGGGGGGGGGGAATCAAGAACAGAATTAAAAAACAATCTGACTGACCTAATTTTATCATCAAAATTTTCAAAGTTCCTGATATAAAAGGAACCCAAAAAAACCACCTTAAACTATATTCACAACAAATTCAGCAATGGAACTGGCCCAAACAGGAAGCTCTCAAGCAATCTCAATTCCAGAGAAAAGGTTTGAACAACTGATTATTCAAGAATATTCCTTGCTCCAGAGTGTCCCAGGTAGGGAGCAAAGCACTAGTAATGCACATTGCAGTAATCAAATTTGCAGACTGATGACTTTAGTGGTATAAGCACCAAACTGGTATTGGAGCTCAATGTTGTGCTTATCACACTTTACAAATCTGCCTAACCTTTATTTTCCACCTCTCTCAGTCTATACATCTGTAAGAAATTAGGACGACCTCTCAGAAGTACCATGAAGAAGGTTAAAATTGCATTTTGAATACAAAATGGTCTACACACACAGTCTACCTACCTACGAGACTAACTTAAAACCGAAATTTTTGAAATTAAACTCCAATATCTAGACAAGATGGTTACTCTGCACCACAAAGTTGACAATGACAGACCCCCCCCCAAAAAAAATTCATTACATACAATGTATCAAACTAGCATTTTCAATCTTGACAATTCAGTGTTACCCTCTTACAGGTGATCACCCTCTTAAGGCGATCTTGCTTAAAACAGTAGGTAAATTTTATACAAATCTTTATAGCTTTCCTAGAACACGTAACATTATCATTTTTCTCTTAAAGATTATGCATTAAAATCACTTTAAAGCTGCCTCAGTATAGAAAAGAATCATTGTCAGAAACCCTAACTTTGCTCTTGGGATGTCAGGTTGGTTTTGGTTAATTGGCACCAGAAAGCGGAAGCAGTGCTATTTATTATACAGAAGTTAAAACCAACAAAGGAAACAAAAAAAGGAATTCTGATAACACCTACAGTATTTCTATCCCCGTTCATTTTAGGGAGAGTGCCAACTTACAGGTACAAAAAAACAACTATCAGGTGCTTCGTAGCCACCAAGAAAATATAGGAGGGGATGGGACACAGGTGGGACAACACATAAGAGACAAAACTCTATTCTCTAAGAAGAGTTCACTTTCAATACCATTCTGAAGAACAAACCCACTTATTCAAACTACAACAAGCGTTTATGTAATTACTGAAGGCAAGTTTCCTTAGACTCGCTCTGGTCTAAGATTTCTGCATCCTCCAGCACTCCTTTAACGCCAAATACAAAAGTAGTTTTCCATTCTGTCTTCCCCCAAACGCTGCAAGTTAACTTGAAACTGTTTCCCTCCTTACTGCAAATCAGTCTGTTCCCCCTACAATTTACCTAAAACACAATAACTATCACCCATCTTTCAAATGAACACACTATGCCAGCAAATTGCAACTGGTGTGGGACAAGAATTTTTAAAACATGACAACAGCCAACACAATAGCTATCCGGTATGAATTAATCAAAACTATCCCTATTTTTGTTTTTGTCAGATTGGCCAAAAAAATGTATTTTTTAGTGTACTGCAGATTTTCAGTCATTAGTTTGTATGTGCCATGAGATGAAAAAGGCTGAAAATCGCTGCTGTATACCGATCACACTGATACTAAGGGCAACAAGTCCTTCCTTTTCCATGCCTTTTTATAGACTACTTTTTATGCACTTTTACTCCTATACATACCATTATATACAGGATAGAATAAAGCCGACAGCTAGGAAACCCTGGGTCGGCCAAAATACTTCAGTAAACTCAAATACATTTGTATATGCTGTACTCGAGGAAACAGTAACAATGTAACTGATGGATGCTTCCACACAGCACGTACAGCCGAGTATGTGTCCATTATATTAATAAATTGTGATACAATGTGTTCTGTCATTTCCCCCAACTACCAAAAAAAGTCCATCGTTGCCTTCTGCGGTTCTCAACCTGTGGGTCGCGACCCCTTTGGGGGGGGTCCAACGACCCTTTCACAGGGGTCGCCTAAGACCATCGGAAAACACATATATAATTACATGTTGTTTTTGTGATTAATCACTATGCTTTAATTATGTTCAATTTGTAACAATGAAATTTGGGGTCACCACAACATGAGGAACTGCATTAAAGGGTCGCGGCATTAGGAAGGTTGAGAACCACTGCTTTAAATGGAAGTGGGAAGGGAGGCTTCGAGAAGGGCATTTTAACACCACGTCTGCAGTCACTAAGTTAAAATTCTGAATCTCGGATATTAAAATGAACGCTTCTTCCCTCGGGGGCAAAGCACAATGGTTGGCAAGGGGCAACTTCCTAGGCTGCACAAGAACCTTCGAAGGGTGGGGGGTGGGGGTGGGGATGTCCGGCCAGCAAAGAAGAATTCCAAGCTAAAAGGAAAGAGTGACACCATGGGCCTACTGTGCTTCCTCCACCGCAGGAGGACCGCAGGCAGACGGGTGCGGGTTATTTTCTCCCAAGAGCAACTAACATCCCAAGGAACAAGCACGGATGAAGCACAACTCGGAGCCCAGCACCAGGCTCCCCGCCGACGCCTCCGCCGGAGAACGCCTGGCTCCCAGCCCGCGGCGGGTGGGGTCGGGCTTCCTTGCCGGAGGGGAATTCGACGCCATTGAAGAACCAGAGGGGAGACTGGCCCACCTTCCCGCCTCTCGCCTGGGTTAGCAGGGTCCAATCCCAAAACCAAGGTGCTGAGCCCCCCGGCACCGCCGCCCCCCTCCCCCACGAGAACAGAATCTGTGAGTCCCGGGGCGAGGCGGGGGGCGGGGGGACGCTCCCGCCCGGCCCGCGCCAGAACGCTCACCTTCCACCACGCCGCACAGGAACTTGCGGGCCCCGCCTGCCGCCCCGGACACCGCAGCTCCCCCGGCGCCGGCCGGGCTGTCTTCTCCAGGGGCCGGAGCTGCCGGGGGCTCCAACGATGACCCCGCGGAGCTGGCAGGATTGGCGTTGAGCTCGTTCTCCCGCTCCTCCAGCGCCGCCTGGCTCTCCTTCTGCACCATCTTCCTGCCCGCGACCGCCGCCACCACTACGGGTCCTCCTCGGCCTCCGAGTGCTGGGCCCCCGGCCCAGAGCCCTGGACAGAGCCTCGGCTCCCACTGCTCGCCGCGCCGGCTCCGGCCCTTCCCCCTCCGCCCTTCCCCCTCCCACGCCGCAGGGACCCGAATGCCCGGATGAGAAGGGCGGCGGCACCGGAGCGAGCCCTTTGTCAGCTGCAGCCTCAGCCTCAGCTGCGGAGCGGGAGGCCTCCGCCGAGAGCGAAGCTGCACCTCTCGTTCCCTGGAGGCGGCTGGCAAAAGCTGCTTTCCTCCTTCTCTGTTAACCTCGGCTGCCGGCCCTACAAGCTTACTTCTTCCGCTGTATCCCCCCCGAAACCCCGAGATCTCTGCTGCCGCTGCCTCTACCACCAGCTTCCTGTTTATCCGCACTGCGCCTGCGCCGGAGACCGGCTCAGACCAGTCGCCTCAGCCCGGCTCCCCCTCCTAGTGTCGGGCCAGCCTATTGCGCTTCATCCGGCAGGGAGACGGGGAGCCGAGGAGGCGCGCAGGGCGGGAGGGAATGAAAGCAGCAGGATGTACCACTGACGGTCGCCACCCTCCAGGACGAGCCGGGCGCCCAGGGACGGACCAGCACCCCACCCCAGGAAAGGCAATGTGGGAGGGGGCTGCAGCCGACGGGGCAATTGGGAAAAGGGGAAAGAGAGCTGTTTACTCTCTCAGTGCGCAGGCGCGGGCGCGAAGCCTCTGGTTCTTAAAGACGCAGGAGGGCACTGACCTACTTCTATTGGGGTTCTTCTCAGAGGTGGGTTCATGGCGACGGCCTGACACAGGCTCGGTTCTGCGAAGACCACACTTCACGGCGCTCAGCTAACCCCTGTGTCTTGAATCATTTTCCTCTACCCCCAGCTTGGCGCTAACCCCTTGGAAAGATCCGATCATTCGTTCCTTCATTCCGCAGACACCTACGGAGCTCGCCGCGCGCTGGGTGCTGGGCTCTCGGGCCACTGTGAGCTCACAGCACAGTAGCGGAGACAAAGTACACACACAGTCCCCATACAGAGTGCAGAGAAGGGGCTGATGGCATCCTCTCTGGGGGAGAGGCAGTGACCGTGATGGTTCTGTTTTGAGTTGGATGTTAAAGGATGAGAAGGAGTTAGCCAGAGTGAGTACTGAAGGAGGGAGGAGAACGCCCCAGGCAAAAGGAACAGAGTACAAATGTAGGGAAGGGTGAAAGGCGGGGGGGGGGGGGGGGGGGGGGGCGGGGGGCGGGCCTTAGGAATGGGGAGCGAGCGTGAATTGTGAGAAGTGAGATCCCTTGGGCCTCAACATAAACTTCAGTTCCTTGGGGAAGCCTTCCCTTCGCCCTAGGCGGGCCTGGATCCCCTCGCTGTGTGTTCTCAGAGCTCCCTGTAGCCCTGTCAGAATGCACTTGACATTATGTAGAGAGATCTGTCCCAAGGTGGGAAGTATAAATGTGGAATAAGCATCTCAGTCTCATTCGGATTACTAAGGCTTGGTATTGTCCATCTTCCACTTGAGTTTCATATTTGACGCCTCCGGTGGTAGCTCAACTTGTAGCTCTAAGGGCTCTTACAGCCCATGTTCTTTTTATTCCGGGAGTGTTGAGATTGGGGTTAAGGGCAGGCATTTTCTTAGGGGGTTTCCTGTGATAACAAAAAAATTTGGGAGTCATAAGCAGCTTCCGTGGATATTGTGATCACTTGGGGGACCTGGGACTGTCATTCCAGCTGACCCCAGCCTTTAGTCTCCTGACACTTTACTCTTTGCCGCACACCTCACACCATGATATCTGCTAGCAAGTCAGTAGCCAGTTTCCTCTCTCCACAGTCCAGACTCTGGGGTCTGTGGCCCAGGCAAGATCCACTTTCCATATCTGTATCTCTCAAACTTGAAGGGCAGTTCTTGCTACACACTTTCTCTCCATACCACACCTACAATAGGAATTAAAATTTAATAGGCCTGTGATAAATATTTGTGGGTAAATGAAATAGGGCCCTGCTCTCACGGAGTGTACATTCTAGTTGAGGAAACAGGCCATAATAAATTCAATACATTCACAGGAACTCAGTTTGTGATAAGTAATAGGAACGGAAGAAATTGATAAAAAGTAGCCACCACAAGGAGGGGCTACTTTAGTGGAGGAATAAGCAGTGATCCAGGTGAGTAATGACAGGGGCTTCGGCTAGGGGACAGCAGTGGAGATAGAGAGGCGGTACACCTTTGGTGGTTGATTAAAAGGGGGTAAGAGGGAGAGGGAGGGAGAGGAAGAAATGAAGAATTCTCAACTAGATGAGCAACCAGGTGGATGGTGTCATTTACTGAAATGGGGAAGACTTGGAAGGCATGAATCAAAGTTCCATTTTGAACATGTTAAGTTTGAACATTTCAGGTCCACATGAATATGTCAAATAGATAATTCTGGAGCTATGAACTCAGGAGTCCTCTGCATATAAATGAAGCCATGGGGTTTACTGTGATTTGGAGAAGAGGCTCAAGTCTGAGCTGTGGGGCCCAATGTTGTTTAGAATTCCAGTTGAGAAGGATGAGTCTGCAGGGGAGGGGTCAGAAGGGTCATCCAGAAATGTAAGAGAAAAACCAGGAAGTATAAAATACTGGAAGGCAGGAAAGGATGGTGTTTTGAGATGGAGCAGCTGACAACATTCAGAGTCTGACCAATGGCTAGAAAAAAATCAGAATGCCAACCTGTTTTTTTCTGGTTCCCATTGGTGTGGTCTGGTTCTGGGGCACTTCCTACCTCACTAGAAATGCTCAGCTCAGACTTCAACTTCCCTTAAACATGGATTTACCCTAAAATATAGAAAATGTTTCCAAACCTAACCCAGTTAGATACACACACACACACACACCATGCTCATTCATCCAATCACACAATTATTGAGTGCCTATTATTTGCCAGGCCTTGAGGATAAGATAGTGAGATGGGGGGAACCTAGTCCAGGCACTCAAGGAGCCCTCAAGAGTTTACAGTGCATCAAAGAAGACAATCACCCAAATATATAGTTATAAACTGAGAGGTGCCATGAAGGAAAAGTATAGGGCACCATGAGAGCCTGTCAGTGTCACCTTGTTTAAATTATGCATGATGCACAGCATCCATCTTTCACACACAAATCTCTACTGTGCCACAAGGCCACCCTGAAGAGACTTGGGGGACTGAGTCTAGTCTCAATCCTCCTATAAATGTGCCTGTTTCCTCTTCTCTACAATGGAAGGCTGAAAGGTAGACTGGATCACAGGTTCTTAACTTAGGGCCCGTGGATGGGCTTCAGGGATACACAAATGAATGGGAAAATGTGCATTGTTTTTCCTTCTGGACAGTAAACCCATAGCTTTCATCAGATCCTTCAGAGGTGTTGTGACCCAAAGAAACCCAAGGACCTAAGGATTAGATAATTGTGTGATGTGAGCCAGGACAGATGACAAAATGATGCACTTTGGAACTATTTGTTTCTTGGGTACCATACCCTTCCCTTGACCTTGTCAGTGTGTAGAGTAATAGAATAGAAGGCCTGATCCCTCTTCTATGGATGGTTAAGCTTAGTAACTATATGAAGGTACCTTAGAGAAAGAATGGGAGGAATCTACCATTGGTGGCTACTCTCCTGGAACAAAACAAAAAAAGGTTCCCAGCCCACAAAGGAAGTCTCTATTACCCTAGTGTCACCTGCCCTGGGTCCACTCCATCAGATCCATTCTTGGCTGGAGTATAGACACAAATGTATGTGCATATTGGAGGCAAGGTTGGGATGTTTACACAATGCAGTTTTCATTTGAAACTAAAGGGAATGCTCCCCCTCAAAAGAAAGCACTTTGAGATTAACTGATGTCTGTGAATTAGAAATTCTTGATTCAACTTGTAATAATGTCTAGACAAAAGACAGTTGGTTTGGCACAGTCTTTTGGACATTAATATCCTGTCTCTTCCTTGTCTCCTCTAAGAGGAGAGATTCCCATGGGTGCTCTCTGAGGTCAGGGAGGTTTCCAACCCTTCCAGAACCTGTGCCTTGATTTCCTGTCAATGGTTGGCCAGACTATGGGAAAGAGAGGCACTTTCTTTGGGATCTAATAGGTTTCAGATACATGAGTTAGAGGTATGTGTGGGGTAGGAGGGACAAAAAGGCAGAGACAGAAGCCTGTGCATAGCCATTGTGTTTTATTGGATCTGGTGTATTTCTTATTTTACAAAATATACAGAGGAGCCAAAAATGCGAAGCAGTCAACAGTGTTCTGATGGGAAAGGGAGCTTCCCAGGGGCCCTTCCCCTCAAATCCTAGCTAATGGGACAAGCAGGTATATTAAGGGGTGGCAGCATGGCAGGGGTGCTGTTGATGATATGGGACCTGGTTCCTGTGATTCCTGACTTCTAGGTGTGTTCAGGGGCATCTCTGGGTAGTGTTAATTGAGCAAGAGGCGACACTAGATAGGAATTGGGGGGGCTATCTGGAGGGTTGAACTAAAGCCTGGGTAGATCAAAGATTCTAATGAATGCCCCCCACATTGGGTGTAGATGCTATGCCTGCCTCCCTCCTTCCCTTTTCTTCCAATGCATCCACTGGGTGGTCCCTAACTCACTCCATACTGGTAGGCTGAACCTTTGGCAGGAATCAGCCGGGACATCTCCCAGCCATATTCTTCTGCTGCCACCATACAAACAGGAAGGAAGGAGAGAGAAAAATTCTAGGGATGAGCCAGACTTCACGATCCCAGGATCTCTTGGCATACTGAACATGGTATGGAAAATTTCTGGGGTGTTTCTAAGGAGCCAAGGTCTTCTAAAGAGCCTGGAAACTCATATTCTGGTGGCAGACCTGTGGAGCTCAGAGTCATAGCCTTAGCTCTCACCATCTCTAGGCCTTTCTGCTTTACACTCCAGCTACTTCCTAGAACTTAACCACCTCCTGAAGCCTGAGAGTTCTCCCTTGTCCCTCTCCTAGGGAGCTCTCTGAGGCCCTGGTCTGAAAGGCCAATCAGTGCCAAGGATAGAGCAACCTGTCTGAGAAGGGAGTCTTAAGGAAAATGTTTACGATATCAGGGATGGGCAAAGCACCATAACAGGAGAAATTTTGTCTAGTGTTGGGTTTCTAGAGTGGGGTTGGAGGTGGAGAACCACTTAATTCCTTCAGCAGGGGCATCCTCAGCACGGTCAGGGAGGGAGTGGGAGCTGTTGGGAATTGGGAATACCAGCTGATACACTCTGCCCACTCCCTGGCTCCTTCGGCTCCAATGATCTGAACCACTGAATTCCCAGGCTCTTGGATTCCTACAGGCCCTAGGGCAGGTATAGGGTGAGAAGAGAGCTAGGAAGAGAAAGATGAGGTCCAACTGGACTAGGGCTAGAGGATGCCCCTCCTCCCCCCCCCAGAACAACTGACCCCCTCTCCTGGTGAGCTAGATGACATTGTCAAAGAGCTGCATGGACCTCATGATGTTCTCATCCTTTATCCATGGTGTGAGAGAGGCAGGTTGGAGAAAGAAAGAAAAAGAGCTTGTCAGAGGCAGGGAGAGACACTGAGTCATAAATGGGGACATTCAGAAACAGAGAGGCAACGAGGAGGAGACACCCAGAGAGACCAGAGGTGAAGAATGGCAGGCCTCCCCCAGTTGTGAAGGAACAGGATTGGGAGTGGGGGTGAGTTCAGGAGCCTTCTCCTATATTATTGAGTTAGGCCCTGAGTCCAGACCAGGGAAATGTGGAGGGTGGGGACCTGTACCTTTTGACAAGATTCAATGAATTCCTCAATGGTCACCACGCCATCCTTATTCCTGTCCATCTTCTGCAAAAAGGTAATTGGGAGGGAGAACAGGATGGATGGCAGGAGAGAGGCAGGCAGAATTCAGGCAAGTTCCCTACTGGGACCTCACCTTCTCTTCACTCCAGGACCCTCCAGCCTACCCAGTCCCAAGCACCTGGAAGAAGCTCTCCACATGTTCCCTTGGGGCCTCCTCTCGGAGTGCAGGATACGTATACTTGCCCATCATGTCATAGATGGACTTCATGATATCAAGCATTTCCTGTTAGACCAAGAAAAAAAAAAAGGATCTCTCTTCAGAGCCTCTAGCCTCCAAACCAGGAGGCCTAGGCCCTAGGCAGGCAACACCCTGCTGGTGATGCCTATGTGGGTCACATTTCCTTCCTGTGGGCCTTTTACACCTCCCCTCCAGCTCTTCAGTTGTCGTGCATACCTCCTTGGTGATGCAGCCGTCCTTGTTGAGGTCATACAGGTTGAAGGCCCAGTTCAGCCTGTCATCTATGGTTCCCCGAAGAATCACTGACAAACCAGCCACAAAGTCCTGGGAAGGAGGCAGGGGGAGACATGTCTTTAGATCCTTTTACCCAACCTCCTCTCTGGGTTTGGCCCATACATTCTGGCCCTGAAGCCCTAGGCCTCCCTGGCCCACCTCCTCCAGCTTACCTCAAAATTGACTGAGCCATCATGGTTGGTGTCAAAGGCATTGAAGAGAAAAGTGGCATATGTGCTAGAGTCTGCAGAATACGTGGGGATCAGTAAGTGTGACTTCCGGACAGGGATGGGGGAAGCACCATAACAGGAAGCAGAGGGCTTCCTATCTCTATGGGATTCCCCAAACACCTCTTATCATTGGCATTCCCAGCCCCTCCAGAACCCTCTCCCCCACTCAGCCTAGAGATGAACAGCTGCTTCCTTGCAGGCCTGTCCCCTCACCTCCTTGAGGAAAGAACTGGGAGTAAATCTGCTTGAAGTTCTCCTCACTGACAATTCCGCTGGGACATTCCTGGGGAGGGGGGAGACCAAACTGAAGACAGAGACAAACCCCCTTCTACTTACTCTTCTTCCAGACCCCGCTCTCCTCCATGCCCAGAGATTCCCAGGCAAGGACAAAATCTTCATGTCTCCCAGAGGCTCAGCATGCAGCTTTTCTAATGGGAGGCAAGACTTCTCCCAGGACATAAATAAAATAAAATAAATAAAATATAAGCACAGAACTAACCTGACAGTCTGGTCTGCCCATCTCAAACAGACCAGAACTCCGGCTAGAAGTTCGGCCTGGGAGGGGAGGAGGAGGGGGTTCTCCTTGCGCCTCCCCTTCCCTCTCACACCCCAAAGCCAGGCCACCTTTCCGAGAAGTCCTGGATAGGCCCCGCCCCTCCTGTCCCACCCCCTCACCCAGTTTGGCTGGCCTTGCACTCACGTTCTTGAAGCCTCGGTACAGGACCTGCAATTCTTTGCGAGTGAACTTGGTTTGCTCTTGCAGCTGCTCCAGACCCTCGGGCCGGTGACACACAGTGGACAGTTCAAAGTCATCCTCCACGCTGTCTGCGAGGGTTAGGGGGGACGAGGGGAGGGAGAGCCGAGCCTCAGGCCCGGTCCCCACAACCCTTCTTCAAAATCACGGACCCATACATCCCCCTTATCTCCAACTCCAGAGACCAGCCTGCCAGTTCACTGGACCCCACGCCAAGGACATGAAGGCAAGGAGAGAAGACACTGGTCAGCTTCGAGGTCTATCAGCCCAAGGCCAGTGCCTGGTCCCAGAGCCAGGGATCCGACCCGTCTCAGGCCCCTGGGCCCTTGGTTCCTGGTTGGAGGGAAAAGCCCCAAGCCCATCTTCATCCCAGAAGGGGTTGGAGTAGTAAAGACAGGTTCAAGCTCTGGGACTTCCCACACCAACTGAGATCTGTCCAGTCCCAGGCTTGCCTTTTTCCAGATCCTTCCTTCCTACCAAACCCCGCCTACCCCAGCCATGCCTGAGCCATGCCCCGCCCAGCTCCAGCCAAGCCCCATCCAGACCCCACCCCTGCCTCCGCCCTAGGTAAATCTTAGCCAGAGCCCCACCCTCGGCCCCATCTCAGTACCCTCCCAGCCCCCAACATCCAGTCCCCAGGCAAATATCCCCACCCCGTGCTCCCGAAGCCCCCCGCCCCCGCCCCCACCAGGAGAGTAAGTCACCTGGGTCCAGCGGGCGGGGTCTGTGGGGGCGTAGGGAGGCTGGGGCAGCTAATGCTGAAGGGAGCGAACTGTCACCGAGAAAGCTGAAGACCCGGCCAACTGCAAACACACACCTCACTCCTCACACTCACTGCAAATCTCACAGACCTGCGTGTTACAGTGCGCACACCCCAGCCCCGCACGCAAAAGCACACATGACGAACGGGCACAGACTCACGAAATGGACCCCACGCACACGTGCCTGTCCTTTTTCCAAATCGATCCCCACGTGGGATCAGGAATCAAACAAACACTCTCAAATCACCACAAGACGGGCCTTTAGAGCTTGCAGAATGCAGCACGATCCTAGGCCCTGGACAAGGCCCCACTGAAGAAACAGGCCTAAGACAAAGGGAACCAGGCTGCCACTGGAAAACCCAAGCATCCTGGCATCTGCGGAAGGAGCACTCCATTCGCATGGGCGACAGACATCTTGACAACCAACGCATGCCCAGGGACGCGACAGGAGGCCCGAGTCGCAGACAACTCAGCTAAGCCAGGCACAGACCTGCACAGCCGCTGCCACTTTAGCCACAGCGCTCGGCTCACGCCTCAGCACCACACACCGGCCACGCCCACACAGGCCCCGCCCACAAGCAGGCACCTCCCACCGACACTCAGGCCACGCCCCCAAGCTGGCCACACCCACAACCAGTTTCTTCTGAAAGAGGTAGCGACGCTTGCTGCTCACTCCTGTGCCAGCCAGCGCCCACCCTACCGACACTTGGAGACACACACACACACACACACACACACACCCGCTCCCCACACACCGTCCCATCCCACACTGGACACACACACACACACACACACACACCCGCTCCCCACACACCGTCCCATCCCACACTGGACACACACACACACAAACACACACACACACCCGCTCCCCACACACCGTCCCATCCCACACTGGACACACACACACACACACACCCCCGCTCCCCACACACCGTCCCATCCCACACTGGACACACACACACACACACACACACACCCGCTCCCCACACACCGTCCCATCCCACACAACAGACCCCGCCCCGGAAGTACAGGAGCAGCACTTGCTTTCACTGACTGAGGGCAGGGCTTGGGGCCCGCAGCATGGCAGCAGCTGGAGGAACCGCTGCTTCAGCGCTTTTTTAGTAGGCCCTGGAGGGTGGCCTGGGAAGAGAGAAGACCCCAGGAAGGCACATTAACCCCCACTGCCCCTCCGTTCCCTTTCCCACCATCAAAAATTAACCCCGGTTGGGGGCGGGTGTTGGGGGAGAATTAAGAGGAGATGGCGAGGGTAGCTGGGGCTGGGTTAGAGGAGCCGAGTGGGTTTCAGAGGCATGGAAAACCCACTGAGGCCGCTCGGGCACCTTGCATAATGGGATGCAGCCGAGGACTGCGAGGCAGCCGGGGGAAAGTAGCACTGGCTTCAGTGTCCGCTGACCCAGTGCCCTTGCCTCCAGTGTTATGGCTGAACCTCTGAGGGTGATGTCCAACCCAAGGATTGCCTGGGTAGGAACTCCTCTCTCTCACACACACATTCAGACAGGCATGTATAGTGACACATAGAATGATAAATCACAGAGTAATGGATGCCATACAGTGACAACCTGATACCCAGTAACTCACACCCAATGGCCTAATTAAGCAGGCTTCAACACACACACACACACACACACACACACTGACCTAAAATTCCTTAATACAAACATAAACAAATGTGACCTAGGAAAACATATACATGAGGACCTCTACAGGCCATCTTACTACACACAGCATGATCAAACCACACAAAACACACAATGACCCGGGACATCATGACACAATGTGTTATCGACACACTAAGACCTTAAAATATTATACCACATATCAAGGTCACAATGTCCCATATCCATTATCATATTGTGATTTATGTGCCCATGGCACCCAGATACCTAAGACTGCACCTCACCTACAGAATCCCTGTCTGTCCTGGATATGCCCACCTTTCTGTTCTACAGCTCCTCATTCCAAGGCACCAAATCTTCCTACCAGTGGAACAGCGTTTCTCATCAGCTGACTCATCCACCCTGAAAGCATCCCTGCCCAGTCCTTTCTAGTATGGCTAACTCTTTGAAGGGGAAATGATAGCAAACTTGGAGGCAATAACAGAACTTAAGGTAAGTATTTTGGTGTAAGGTGGGGCTATCTAGAGCCCACTGGTCACCATTCGTCTCCCTTCCTCTCATTTACACGCATGTCCTACAGCTCTAATTGCATCCTCAGGCGACCCTCCACATTCATGTGTGCCTGTCTGCCAACTGCACCCACCTCCAGACGCCAGGGCCAGAGTCCACAGGTCCTGGTGCAGACACCGAGGACCCCAACGTCCTTTGGTTGTCGGTTACTTGGGCATCCCAGCTCCCACACGGGCCCTGCCCTCCCAAGTCAGTCCCCATCTTCAGGAGGTAAGTGCTCAGAGTCATGGCCTTCTCCTCCTCCAATATGTCCTCTCTCCCTCCTCCGCAGCAGGAGCTATGGAGAGGTGGGAGGGAGGGAGTGGGTCGGGTGGGGGATCGATGGCAGCCTGGCCCCTGGCCCAGGACTCCATTAGCCTGGACTTTGGTTTCCCGAAGCCGGATTGCACCTGGGGACTTTGGTGGTAGAGTTGCCACCAGGCAGGGGAGGTGGGGATGGGGGCAGGGACTCCCGCCCTCTTCCAACCACCACCTCTTAGCACATCCTCCTTACCTGCTCCCAGGACTCAATCTCCTCCCTCTAGGCTCCTCTGAAGGTAGAAAGAGAAAGGGGCTGCCTTCAGCCTAAGGGATGCTGGGTTCCCGAGATGACCCCTCTTCCCACTAAATAGTCTAAAGGGGGTGGCAAGTTAGAGCCCAACTGATTTCATCTTTTTAAAACTGGATGAACCCTAGTTCATCTAGGACCAATTCCTGTTCCCCACCCCATCCCAATAAATGCAGCAGAGGATGGAGTTTTGGGCTCTTACTGAACACTAGAGCAGGCAATGCATGGACCTTCCTTTTCTCCCTAGCTCCTTCCACATCTCCCCTGCAGTCCTCCTATCATGGTTCTTGCTTGTTTTCCCATTCCTGGTGGAATTGGGGAACAGCCATGCTATGAAGCTGCACAGCTCTTGCTGTAAAGAGGAGGCAGAGGCCAAAACACTCTGGTGGAGGCAGAATATGTCCCCTCCCTACCTCCATTATCACTCTCCCCACTTGACTTTGGGGTGGAGTGGAAAATTGACCTCCCACCCCCAGTGTCTGCACCCTGGAGACCATTCTGCCATTGGATCCTGAAAGGATATGGGGCTTAGGAAGCAGGGTCCCAGTCTGACCCACCCCTCACCCTCCTGTCAGAGCTGACCTGTGAATGTTTCATTCACAGTGTTCCTTCTCCTGTCACTCCAGAGCCCATCCCCATCCTAAGTCTTGGGTATAGAACTGTTATATTATCAGGAAACTCTGGGAACAGCCACACCCACAATCTGATACCTAAAGAGGCTCAGCACATACCCTGTCCTCTCAGGCACAGTCACATCTACCATCTGACAAAGCCACATACTCTGTCACTTTGACACATTAAATCACATCCCTGTCACAATACACAGGCTTACATAGTCACACTTTTGTCCTTTCTCATCACACACATGAACACACACAATCATATCCCCTGTATCTGTCACCCACTGAGTCCACAAACACTCTGTTACCTATACCTGCAAGGATAGAGGTGTGGGAATCACACATCTTCAGAGCCGTTGTGGACCCCTGACCCCAAAAGGGACTCCCCAGAAGTCTAGTGTTACGTCAGGATTCCCGGAACCTCCTTCTTCTACCCCAGATACCCCTGCTTATCTCTAGCCCTCTCCTCCTATCTCCCAGACTTCCCTCATCTCCAAACTCCAGTCCTCCTGCACTGCACCCCTTAGCATTTCTCAAACACCTGTCCACTGGTCTTTTCTCTTCACCTCCCAGTCCTCCAGATTCCCTCCTTACCTCCCCTAGATGCCCCACCACAGAGTTCCCGTCTGTACCTCTCCCAGATGTCCTGTTCCCCAAGCATCCCTCCTCACCTCCCGGAGATGCCCTATCCCATCACTAACCTGCTCACTCCTCCTCCCAGTCACAAAAGTCAGAGTAGCCCCTCCCCAATGCTACAGGCGCTGTCCCTCCAGCCAGCAGCCCAGAGCTGCCCAGGCCCCTGGGTTACCTTCCAAGGAGACAGGCTCAAAGAGGCCAAACTGCTCCAGGACCTTGACAAACAGAGCGAGGACCACAAGCACGGCGACCATCTCCAGCCCTTCCAGGTTCATGGTGGGCCTGGGGCATGGTCAGCAGGCCTGCCAGCCCTACTCACACCACCTCCCCCTCAGGCTCCCCATGGAGAGTAGGACTGCCGGCAGCCTCCCTCCCCTTCTTCTTCCCTGGATCTCCTCCCTCTCCCCACCTCCCTCACCCCGCCCCTGCCCCACTGGCCTCTCAGCCACAGCTTCTTCCTCTTCACAGGCCACTTCAGCCTCTAGATTGGCATCTTCTTGGGAGCTTTTGGTGTGAAGGATATGGGCCAGGCCAGGTCAGAGGAGGGATACAGTGACCTAACTCTGTCCCCAGGACAGCTTCCCCCAGACACCCTGTGGCTACTCTGTGCCAAAGGGAGGGGGAAGAAAGAGGAGCTGTCTTTAGGGAGAAGGCAGGGAAGGGCAGTGTGAGAAATTATGAGTAAGTAATAGATGTATGGGTCAGAATATGTTATGGGTGTCTGGGTGTTTTCTGGTGTGTATATTCCTGTGTTTGTCTGTATGGAGAATATGTGTCTGTGTGCTTACACCTGATTGTGCACCTATCTATTAGGTGTGTGTCTTGTGTCTAGGGGTATGTGACCTGGGTGTCTATGGTGTGTGTGAGAGAATGTATTGAAATATTTCTGAGTGTGTATGGGTGTAAGTGTCTGTGTTTTAGTAGACTTACGGGCTGTGGGTCTGAGGACTGGTAATATGGATGTGTCCTATAATTAGGAGTACAGGTCTCTGGTGGTTGTGTAATTGTATCTGCATGGAACTGTATGAGAATATAAGAGGGAAGAAAGCAGTGACCTCTCCCGCCCAGAGGACACTACCAGCATCGATTGCGGTTGCCATGGAGACAGTGGGGGTTGGGGCAAAGCGTTCTCTTCCCACTGGCCACAGACAGGAAAATTGAGGCCCAGGGAGGGAGAATTAGGTCCAATAGCCTGGGCAGGAAAAAAGTCTGCAAGGATAGAGGCCTTAGCCTTATCAGGACCTTTTTGGGAGGAGACTTATTGCATCTGCCTTTGGGACCAAGAGACTCAGTTTCTTGGGAGAGTAGGAGGGACTGTGCTCTTCTCTTCCTCCTGACTGGGGCTCCCTAAGCCCTGCCTGCTCCTAGGGAACCATTACTGAGCAGATGGAGAAGCCCAGGGTAGAAGAGAAATCTGAACCCGCCCAGGGCACCACCCCCACTGCACCCCTGGAACATTCCTGGAACTCCTCCCCCATCTTCCCAGCTCCTTCGGGGTCAGTGGCGGTGGTGAGTGTAGGGGTGGGGAGAGGCCTGCAGAGCCAGAAGACTAGGGCTGCTGAGTTACTGCACAGCTGAGTAACACTGAGCACTCACTGTGTGCCTGACAGAGCTCTATGTGCTTACAGACACTATCATGCTGAGTTTTCAGTATCAGAGCCTCAATTTTACACCAGTCTGACTGTGAGCCTGCTGCACTCTAAACCACCACACTCCACTGGCTCCCTTAGACAGCCTGCCCACCGAGGAGGCCCAGCTTAGGATGATGGACCCCAGAGGAAGCCCTCTTTCGGGGTCCAGCTCTGGAATGAGTGTGTGACTGAGCCCCAGTTGTGGGGTGGGAGCTGGTCCCACCACTCCATTTGATCACTGATCTGTAGTTCTACAGCCCACCACTGGGGGTCAGGCCATATCTTACCCCTTTGGCTTTCCCCGCAGCCCAACATCCCAGGAAGGTGTTGAAAGGAGGGAAGGAGGGTAGCACCCCAGGCTTGATCCTCTGCTTTCCCTCCTCTCCTCCCCCAAGAAGAAGTCAACTCAGGGACTGCTTTCAGGTTCTCACACTTTAGAGATTACAGATTAACAGGTGAAACCAGCAAACATCTTCCTGTCACAGTCCAAATTCCACAT